TATTTTAAAGAAGGCATATAAATTAGGAAGTCCTTCAGCCACAAAAATTCTGCGTATTCTGCTTATTACATATCTAAGAACATCATTTAGATAGCATTCATACCCAACAAGGTGTATAAAGAATGTCTTGAAAAAAATGAACACCTCTGGCTGACATGAGGATCTCCTCAGGAATGTTTCTGGGGTCTCAGTGTGAGGTCCTATTTTACAATATTGACTATTGTGCATCCTGCTGTCTCACTTGAAGGACATTCTTACCTTCCTGTTAGCACTGAGGTTTGCAGCAGGGATCTGAAGAGTCACCTGGTAATCGGTGAGCTTGCTCATTTCCTCAGCCAGGAAGTTTGCTTCCCTCACCAAAGTGTTAGCTTTAACCAGCTGCTCTCGCAGTTTTGCCAGGCTTTGTCGGAAGAGTTCATCTCTGCAGTGTCACAGAAAAGGAAACAAGAAAATCTAAAAGAAAACTGCAATCCCATTTCTAAGTGAGCATCTTATTAGAAAATGGTAGAAAACTCCTCTTGGACAGTGTTTTTAAAAACATTCTACCAGACTACCTCTAATCCTTCCTTCCTGTCCGCAGATGGGCCATCTGTTGAGAACTACAGATGGGGAGCAAATTGTTGAATGACTTAACTGAAAATCACGTTTCAAATTATGTAACATTTGAAAACGATCAGACTGTGATACGAGGATGCAAAAAACCAATACGGGAATCTTTGGGAAAAACAAACGATGATTATGACTTGTGTGTGCTGTGGAAGGGGGGTGGGGCCAGGAAGGGTTGGCAGATGAGAGAAACCTGGAGTTAGAAGAAAGCATTTTTCATGACTTCTGCAGTTGGTAAAAGTCATGCCATAGTAAGGTAGTTCTGCAGTAGCAGAAATTCTTTTTTTTTTCTTTCAATTCTCTATACAATACTACTTGCTGATAAAAAGCTTCTCTAATATCCCGACTTGGTCAAAACCCTCTTGTATGTTCTCTCAGCCCCATGCCTTTAGCCTCCATAGCATTTGCCATGTGGAGAACTTTTCATTTTTACTTGTATAATTATTTGTGTAATATCTGTCTCCTACTAGGCTGTAAGTGCCCTGGGGCAGGAATCATGTCTTTTTTTGCTTGCACTACACTAGTTCCTGGCCAAGTGCATGACCCATTGTACGATATTCAAAAAAGACCCAATGAATAAAGAAAAGAGTGCTTCTGGATTTCACATGTCAACCTGGGTTCAAAAGTCACTCCATCTAGTGATCGCTCTGTGCCAAATATAACTTCTCTTTTCCACCATTTATACACTGCAGGAAATTCTTACATCATAGAAAAATAATGAGCTCAAAGCATCGAAATCTCTACTCCTCACTCATCACCTTAGAAATGACAGAGGACGCATGCTGTGAGGATGCTAATGTAAAGAAAACAGTTTCTTAAAACGATTACCGATATTACCGGCTGGGGGCAGTGGCTCATGCCTGTAAACCCAACACTTTGGGAGGCCAAGGTGGGAGGATCGCTTGAGGCCAGGAGTTCAAAACCAGCCTGGGCAACATAGTAAGACCTCATCTTTCTTTAAAAAAAAAGAAAGAAAGGAAAAAGAGAAAGAAAAAAGGTGATATCATTTTTCCAGTCACCTCTGCTTAGATTTGTTCAGTTGGCTCAGTCTCGTCTCTTTTCTACAATGTCCAAAAAATAAGCCTATTGACCATCTCTCTCTGTGTGTTTTATCATATTCCTGGCTCAGGTCCCTCACACCCTTCCCAATAATCTCACAGCACCCAGGCTCTTCTTGCTCCACTACAAGACAGTCTTTATCAAGCCCTGCATCAAGCCCTGCATTCCTCAGGTCATTCCTCGGCTCAAGGCCTTACAGGGCTCCTCTTCTCCCAAAAAATAAATCCCAGACTCCGAGTCTGTGGCCTCCCACAACCCCTATCTGACAGTTTTGAGCTTAATTTTCCCTACTCTTCCATAAATTAACTTCTAGACAGCGGTCCCCAACCTCTTTGGCAGCAGGGACTAGTTTCATGGAAGACAGCTTTTCCATGGACCGATACTGGGGAGAGGGAGAGTTCTGGGATGATTCAAGTGCATTACATTTATTGTACACTTTATTTCTATTATTATATTGTAATATATGATGAAATAATTACACAATTCACCAAAATGTAGAATCGGTGAGAGCCCTCAGTTTATTTTCCTGCAACTAGACAGTCCCATGTGGGAGTGACGGGAGATGGTGACAGATCATCAGGCTTTAGACTCTTAGAAGGAACATGCAACCTAGATCCCTCATGTGTACAGTGTATAATAGGGTTCACATTCCCCTGAGAATCAAATGCCACTGCTGTTTTGACAGGAGGTGGAGCTCACGTGGTGATGCCAGCGAAGAGGAGTGGCTGTAAACACAGACGAAGCTTCACTTGCTGGCCCACCACTCACCTCCTGCTGTACAGCCTGGTTCCTAACAGGCCATGGACCTGTACCAGTCTGTGGTCCAGGGGCTGGGGACCCCTGTTCCAGACTATTCAAAACTGTTCTTTTGAAGTCTCCCAAATACATCTTATTGTCCTCCATTACTTCCCATCTGTTCAAGCCAATCCGCCCATCCGAAATGTCCTTCTAGTTTTTCTCTGCTGGTCAAACTCTGCCTCTCAAAAGCACTTGAAATCCTTCCATCTCCCTGAAAATCTCTGTAGAAGACTCAGCTTCACTGAGGTCTCATCTTCCACTGAACAACCAACAAGCTTACTGTGCAGTCTGCCCACCTGGCAACTACATGCTTGCTTGTCACTCAATACATTCACACAATCAATGCATACGATATTTACTAAATACCTACTAGGTGACCACATCATTCTAGGCAATAGCAATACTTCAATAAATGAAATGGATTCCCGGTCCCCTGGAAGTTATTTTCCAGGGTAGGAGATAGAACACACACAAATAACTATTAATGTATAATCGTTAACACTTCCTATTGTTGAATAAAACTGTTCTTTAATTTACTATTATGACTTAAGTTTTCACAAGTTTATATCTTGTTTCACACTACATTCTAAGTGTACAAAGAGAATAAATGGTATCTGTAGCTTTCTTTGTAATTCTTACCAGCGTTTAAGTACACTTGATTCTCAACCCATCAACATTCCTGTAGGTAAGAGTCCTTCATTATTTCACAACCCATCAACATGTACTTAGGTAAGAGTTCTAGCTTCTTATATAATGATGCACAATTAATGACATCTTAATTTTATCCAGCGAAATCTGACAAAAATCAATAAGGCAACTATTCTTATGTCTTTGAACGACAATCCCAAAATATCTCGTATTTTTTCTTCCTTCCTTCCTTCCTTCTTTCTCTCCCTTCCTTTCTCTTTTCTTCTCTCTCTCTTTTTCTCTCTTTCTTGGAGATAGGGACTCCCTATGTTGCCCAGGCTATTCAGAGGTATGCTTACAGTGCACTACAGCTTGAAACTCCTGGACTCAAGTGATCCTCCTGTCTCAGCCTCTGCAGTAGCTGAGACTATAGGTATGTGCCACCGTACCAGGCTTCTATAGGTTTTTTTTTTTTTTTTTTTAAAGAATTTAAGCCCCAAAGAAAATCAATCTGGAATTAAGGGAAATGAAAAAAAAAAGTATTTTTTAACTATTTAACTGAAAAGCACTAAGATTAAAAGCAAACCACCTTCTTTACCAGATACTTTTTAAAAAAAATTTAAATATTTTGACTTTCATTTTAGGTTCAGAGGTACACATGCAGGTTTGTTATATAGGTAAACTCATGACTTGGGGGTTTGATGTACAGATTATTTCACTACCTGGGTAGTAAGCATATTGCTGACAGGTTTTTTTTGTTTGTTTGTTCTTTTCTGAGCCTCTCCTTTCTCCTCCCACAGGTCCCAGTATCTCTTGTTCCCCTCTTTCTGCCTATGGGTTCTCATGATTTAGCTCTCACTTATTAGTGAGAATACGTGGTATCTGGTTTTCTCTTCCTGCATTAGTTTTCTAAGAATAATGGCCTCTAGTTCCACCTATGTTCCTGCAAAGGACATGAACTTGTTCTTTTTTATGGCCGCATAGTATTCCATGGTGTACATGTATCACGTTTTCTTTATCCGGTCTACCATTGGACATTTAGGTTGATTTCATGTCTTTCCTATTGTGAACAGTGCTGCAATGAACATACACATGCATATGTCTTTATTGCAGAACAATTTATATTTCTTTGGGTATATATTACCCAGTTGTGAGACTGCTGGGTAAAATGATAGTTCTGTTTTTACCTCTTTGAAAAACTGCCACATTGCTTTCCACAATGGTTGAATTAATTACACTCTCACCAACAGGGTATAAGGGTTCCCTTTTCCTTGCAACTTTGCCAGAATCTGTTATTTTTTGACTTCTTAAAAATAGCCATTCTGATTGGTGTGAGATGGTATCTCATTGTGGTTTTGATTTGGATTTCCCTAATAATTAGTGATATTGAACACTTTTTAATATGCTTTGTTGGCCACATGTATCTTCATTTGAAGATATTCTTGCTTTTATATTCTTTAGTAAATAGAAAGGATATCAATGGGTACAATTATGCCAGTTACCCTCAACAGCTAGCTGTTGCTTAGCGTAAAGCCACCAGCTCACAGGAAATGTGTTCTTCAGAGAAAGGACCATCTGATAGCCTTTGTCTGTTTCTTTCATGCACAATAAAGCATAAAGAGTAACATAAGGCCTTTACGACTGTAATCCCAGCACTTTGTAAGGCTCAGGTGGGTGGATCACCTGAGGTCAAGGGTTGGAGACCCGCCTGGCCAACATGGTGAAAAGCCATCTCTACTAAAAATATAAAAATTAGCCAGGTGTGGTGGCGGGCATCTGCAATCCCAGCTACTAGGGAAGATGCGGTGGGAGAATTGAACCTGGGAAGCGGAGGTTGCAAAGAGCGGAGATCACACCATTGCATTCCAGCCTGGGTGACAAGAGTGAAACTCCGCCTCAAAAAAAAAAAAAAAGGTACATAAGTATGATAAATCTTCCTATTTCAGTATCCAGACAGGTGAACAGGTGGCTCCAGGGGAAAATGTAACTCTCTTCTCTATTTAACATTAACAAGTGCCTGACTGCTGTGAGCCTTTCCCTGCAGGGCAGGGTTCCCTTTTCTCCTCTTGGGAGTCACCTCCCCCAGGTGTGGCCTGTATTCTGCATCTCACTGCGAGTGAGAGACGCGGTGTGTGTGTGAGTAAAGGAAGAGCTCTAGAGTCAGGCTGCCATTGCTCTGATGCCATCACCTAACTTACCAGCTAACTGACCATCTGGGCAAATCATTTAACCTCTCAGCCTCAGTTTCCTTATGTGTAAAGGTAGTAGTTGTGAGGATTAGAGGAATACAGGAACAGCAATTAGCACCTGGGACATGGTATAAATGATCTATAGATGTTAGGTGCTGCTTTTTCTACTGCTAATTATTATCATAACACAGGTGTTATTAGGGGACTGCAGAGAGACCTGGGTTCAAACTCTGGCTTCTTCACTTACTAGATGGTTGATTAAAGCAGGATATTTAAACTGATTGATTGCTTGACCTATGAAACAGGGATAATAGTTCCCATGGTGTAGTGCTGCTGGGATGTTAAATAAAATGCCTGGACTATGGCAAGAACACAACAGAAGTCTGTAATAACCTGTTGTCCGTATTGTGGTGGTGGAGATTATTACGATTACCATTTCCTCCACCGCTCCCTCCTTTGAGAGTTCTGATATGAATATTTTAAAGTCATAAATCTTTTCTTTTGATTTTTTTGAGTCAGGTTCTTTTTTGTTATTGTTGAAATGAAGAAGTCTTGCTTTTGTTGCCCAGGCTGGAGTATGATGGCATGATCTCAGTTCACTTCAACCTCCATCTCCCGGGTTCGAGCAATTCTGCCTTGGCCTCCTGAGTAGCTAGGATTACAGGTGCCTGCCACCATGCCTGGCTGATTTTTTTTTTCTCTATTTTTAACAGAGATGGGGTTTCACCATGTTGGCCAGGTTGGTCTCGAAATCCTAACCTGAGGCAATCCATCCACCTCAGCCTCCCAAAGTGCTGGGATTACGGGTATGAGCCACCACGCCCAGCCTGAGTCAGGTTCTTTCTCTGTCACCCAGGCTGGATTGCAGTGGCATGATCACAGCTCACTGAAGCCTTTATCTCTGGGGCTCAAGTGACCTTCCCACCTTAGCCTCCCAAGTAGCTGGGATTACAGGCATGTGCCATCATGCCTGGATAATTTTTTATTATTTTGTAGAGACGAGGTCTCACTATGTTGCCTAGGGTGGTTTCAGACTCCTGGGCTGAAGTGATCCTCCTGCTTCAGCCTCCCAAAGCGCTAGGATTACAGGTGTGAGCCACTGCACCCAGCCATAAATCTTAAACATACACATTGAGTATATTAATCAGCACTGAAGTTGTATTTAAATAGATTCTAAAGTATGAGAAACAAAAAATAAGAAAAGATGCTTTTGTGTTACAGAAATTATTCAAACTTTCTAAATTTCCACACCTGCCTGTCTAAGCCTTGCAACTTGGCATCATTTTTACTGAAGGCTAAACGGTTGTGGGGGTAGGAGGGACCCTTAACAGCTAACATCATAGTAGACATACTTAAGGTAGACAGTATTAGTGAAAGGAAAAGCTAATTTCAGTAAGTCAGATGTGGGAATAAGAGTTCTCTGCTAGGTTTGTTCCTGACACATCTTACAATCCCCTCCCTCAAAGCCCCACGGCCTTGGAGCCTTGATTCTGGGCTGCCCAAGCTGCAGTTCTTACCTCTCCTCTGCCCACTGGGTCACCTTCTGCTGCGCTGTCTGGCTGCTGTAGGCCAGGCGGTCGGGGCCGCTGCTCTGCGGCTGCCTCTCGGGGGAGAGCTGCTGACGGAGTTGCTCCAGTTCCCGCTCATACATGAGCCGCTGCTCCTCTAGGGCACTTCTCTTTTCTTCTAGGTATTGTTTCTCCAGGACCTGAACCACATTTTGAACTGGGTCTAGTGAGCCAAGAGACAAGGCAAGGTGTCTTAGCGGCAGCTAAGACAAGCATTCATACCAGGCACTACAGCCGGTGGGGACTTCCTGTAGCCAGAACCCTTTTCTGCCCTAGAATCTAGCCTGTTAGTATGCTTTCTGTGAGAGGCCTAATTAGTGAAATCCTCTCAAATTCCTTGTTATTGACGCTGCAGATAAATGCTCTATATGTATACATTCTCCACATTCTCTATGTTGCTTTCTTCAATTTGATGAGCTCATCCTAATGTTGAGATAAATCATTAATCTACTACCAGCAGATGGGGGAAGAGAGGGGAATGCGATTCTGTCCACTGGGAAGAAAAACTTCACGAAATCTAGGATGACTCCAAACACAGAAGCACATAAGATTACATCTTTCTTTATGGTCATTCATTTCTATGCCCATTTAATATCGGTTTTGGTATATGACAAAGATTTATGACTTTCATTACAAATCTTATTACTCTTGAA